GTATTATCATAAGTTATCTAATGCCATTCACCCTTCCTTTGTTACCAATATGAACTTTCATTAAAAAAACACGCTATAGATTACATTCTACCTAGACATAAAAAAAAATACACAGACCGCACCGGTAAGAAATCCTTACGGTATTATCCATCAACCGCAGATTACCCAGAGGCATGATTAACCGAAGGCATAACAGATTGAATCCCGCTTTCTTTATAATCCAGCAATCATTAACCGTGAGCTGCAACATTGAGTTATTATCCAATTTCTTATCCAGAGGTCAGTGCTGGCGCGGTTTGTGTTTCCCTCGAGGCTGTAGTGGCGTCGGTGCCCTGTTTGCTCGGTGATTCAGCAACACGGGTGATGCGTTAGGTGATAGCGTTAGATAATAGGGTTAGGTGATTGGAAATTTGGAAGACAGAAGTTGATCGATGTCTGCTCTATCTGTATATATATATATATATATATATATATATATATATATATATATATATATATATATATATATATATATATATATATACATATATATACATATATGTATATATATATATATATATATATATATATATATATATATATATATATATATATATATATACATATATGTATATATATATATATATATATATATATATATATATATATATATATATATATATATATATATGTATATATATATATATATATATATATATATATATATATATATATATATATATATATATATATATATATATATATATATATATATATATCACACACACATCTGTCTAGGTGCACACACACACACACACACAGACACAGAAAGAGAGTAAGATACAAACAGACAGACAAAACTAACAAAAGGGAGTCGAGCAACAACGAGGCACTCCACCCAAACTGAAAAACAACACCCCCCCCCTCCCCTGTATCTGCACCCACTGACCCTGTTTCCGAAGACGACTACGGCGCTAACCCCGTTCTCTTGGCACGCAGGGGGCGGCGGTGACATAGAGGGCGTGCGCGTGGGTATGAGCCTGGGTGGCACTCCCTCCAGGTGGCTGCTGGAGATGCTGCGTCACCAGGAAGATCTTATTGCTCAACTCGAGAAGGAAAATGAGTTCTTAAAGGTGAGTAGGCGAAGGAAGTGTGTGGCGTTTGATGTCCTTTGAATGTGTTTTTGTTAGTCGAATTCAAGGATAAGAAGAGGAAGAAAGAAAGAAACAAAGAAGAAAAGAAAAAAAGGAAGACAGAAAAGAGAGATAGAGAGATAGAGATAGATAGATAGATAGATAGATAGAGAGTGAGAGAGTGAGAGAGAGAGAGAGAGAGAGAGAGAGAGAGAGAGAGAGAGAGAGAGAGAGAGAGAGAGAGAGAGAGAGAGAGAGAGAGAGAGAGAGAGAGAGAGAGAGAGAGAGAGAGATTTGAATATCTTTCAAGAAAAGGAACTTCACTAAACATTAGTACATTTTGTGAGTCGTTTACGTCACTTTTCGTCTGAGTTAGTAGTGTACACAACATAACAACCGTTGCTAAGGGAGGCAAACTGCTTATCTTTCATCTCCCAAAATAAATTTAATCGATAACGGATCCACTTCAACAAGATTTTTTTTTTTTTTTTTTTACTTGAACTGGAACATTTGAAAAACAAAGTGAAATGTATTTTAAAACCAAAAGCAGAAAAAAAAACAAAACACAAACAAACAAAAGGAGGCTATCGTTTGAATAAAAGAGAAAACGGAACAAAAAGCATTTACCTTACTGCGGGATTTTTTTTTTTTTTTATAGAATAAATTGAAAAAAAAAAAAAAAAAAACGTGTAAAAAAAGAATACGGAATTTCGTGGTTGGATGAGAGGGGTCTGCAATGGACAGGCATATTTTCGAAATATATCTCTTAACGATTTTCTCTCCTACGTAACCTGGAAATACCGCGGACATCTAAAATTAAAAACCACCCAAGCCTAAATAACATCACAATCATTAATAACTTGGCCTAATTAGTTCGATCCAGCGGAGTTCTGAACCTTCATCATTGCTTTCCCCGGATAGGCTTGAGGCTAGGAATTACGCGGGCTATTTGTGTCGTGATTAGTATTACTGATTACAAGAGGGACTACGGGCGCACTGCACAATTCTGATTTCCGGGTGATGTATGGGAGACGCTGGTGTTTTTTTTTCTTTTATTTACTTATTTTTGTATCTTTCTCTTGTTTTATCGTTGTTCAATTCTTGTTCGTTTCTGATTTCTAATGGGATATAGTGGAAGGTGAACTCTAATATATATATATATATATATATATATATATATATATATATATTTTTTTTTCTGATGTGAGTTTCGTCTCGTTTAGCCCAAAGCTTTCTTAATAGTGTATTGGGAATTAAATATAAATATATTTTTTTTATATTTACCTGTCTGTTTTTTCTATTTATTTCGTTGTTCACTTGTTCAATATTCTTATTCGTAGATTGGATATTTCTTTCCTCTCCTTTATTATCTTTTTCTTAAGCTAGATAAGTTTTTCACACAGAAAAAAAATATAAACTTGCCAAAAAGGAAGAAGAGTAGGAGAAAGAAAATTTAAGAAACAGAATAATAAGACTAAGAAAAAATAAGAAGAGGGAGAATAATAATAAAAAAAAAACGCCAAAAAAAAAATCGAAAACAAAAACAAAACAAACAAAACGACAACGCCATCATCACCCCCTACACCCTACCCCCCCCAAAAAAAAAAAAAAAAAAAACAAGATAAAAATAAAATAGAAAAATAAGAAAAAATACCACCACCACTTTGTGTTTTACGCCCGTTGTCCTCCCGCAGCGAGAAGTCGTATCTGTGGGCGAGGGCGTGAAGGCGATGGCGAAGGAGAACTCGGAGCTGAACAGAAGACTGACAGAATCTCTAAATCAAGCCATTAATACAGTGAGTAATTATTTCGTGGTGTAAAGCATTAATTACATGAACGGCGCGCAATTGTGTGTTTTTTTAATGGATTGTCGCTTGTCTGTGTGTAATTGATATGTTTATTTGTTATTTATATATATATATATATATATATATATATATATATATATATATATATATATATATATATATATATATGTATATATATGTATATATATATATATATATATATATATATATATATATATATATATATATATATATATATATATATTTTTTTTTTTTTTTTTTAGATTGTTGTCGATCCTATATTGTTTAAATGCAGTTTTTTGTTTTTATTGTATTTATCTTATTTAATTTTTGTATATTTCTATACTTTTATTTTAATTATTTATCATATGATATATTATCATTTGTTTATCGTCTCTATTCTTATGTACTCATTTTTATTCATTTATTCATTCTATTTCATTTTTGATATGTAGGATTTTCTTTAAAGCTGAAGGCCCGGTTGCCTCTAGTTGCAAAATAAATCGGCTTTATTTTCACAACAGGGCGAAGGCTCAGACACTTCTAGCTACAACTTAGAAGAGATGGATGAAGCCATTCAGAGACAGATGGCAGCACTAAGCAGGTTGGTGACATTTAACAGTTAACAGTCAAGGTTCATTATCGTAAAAGGATATTATGGCCAACTACGCTGCTTGAATGAAAGACGTTTATGAACATAAGTTATGCTTTTTATTGTTCGTAAAGTGCCATGATGACTGTGTATGTATAATGTTCGTTTGATGTATGAGGCACGGGAGCTGAACTCATTTCGCGCTCTTCATGAAATTGCAAATTTGCTCCTGATGATTAAACTTATTATTATCACCTCACTCACGTACTTCCTTTCAACTCTCCTGACAGGGAAAGAACCCTTCTGCAGGAGGAAGTAGGGCGTCTTGAGGGATCCCTGGCGGCTGTGACCAAGAGAGAACAGGAGGCGCTGGCGAAGCTCAACCACGCTCTCGCTCTCGCCCAGGACACACACGCACACACGGCCAAGGTACGCTGCAGCCCACACGCATAGTGTTCATTAAAAAACCTTTCGTTTGATCTCCGTTATGACTAACATTACTTTCTATTTTTTGGGAGTCAGTTTCTTCTTTTTTTTCTTTTTTTTTTGCGAAATGTTATTTTTTTTTCTAATTCCATTATGAACAACACATTGCTCCGCGTGGTCAGCTCGGCTCCCCGTCTTGCGTGTACGGTTAATATAGCGATCCTTGTGGCAAATTATACACAAGGCGGATCACGAATGCCTCAGCCAACGAGGCTCCCTCTGGCGATGAACCAAATAGAAATGTAATCCGCTTCTCACAGCTTCTTAAAACGCATGCAATTTGTCTTTATCATATATGTATATGTATATCTTTTCATATTTATTTTTACTTTTTTTCATTCGTGAATGCTCTTTTTTCTTTCTTTCTTTTCGTATCTTGTAATGACAAGTGAATAATTTCGGATTTATTTATGACGTTGGATGTTTTGTGTTAAAGGATTTAAATGTTATTCCTTTCCGTTCCTGAGATTCACAAAGCAGAAGCCTTTATTTTTAGCCGCGAAGAAGCAATTTTGGAGCCACTGACAAACGGTCGTAGTCAAGTAATCCAAAGCACTCGCCTTTGATTACGTCCTCAGCACCTAAATCGGTCATGCCAAGACTTAGTAATCACCGAGACAACTTCTGACTTTTCTTCACTGAAATAAGTTAACGATAACATCTACATGCGTACAGGATGTTGCCAATGGAATGTTCTTAATGCTCTTATCTGGTAAAGTTATTGTCTGTGGTTTCTGAAGCGCGTGGAAGAAGCTTGAGTAGCAGTAGAGCGAGGGATGTCTCGTGTCTGACCCTTGGCTTGGTTGCAGGTCAGAGCGAGCAGCGAGTCCGCCCTCGAGGAGGTGACCAACCTGCTGACGGTGACGCAGCAGGAGGGCAAGGAGCTGAAGCGCCAGCTGGCCGACGCCGAGGAGAGGCTGAAGAAGCAGGAGGGCAACGCCGAGGAGCGCGAGGGCCAGCAGAGGCAGCGGCTTCAGCGGCTGGAGGACGAGCGGGACGACT